GAGCCAGGGACAGAGGTGCAGGTGGGGTGAGAGGCAGACAGGTGTGGGCAGAGAGAAAGAGGACACGTAAGGGCGAGACAGAGACACGGAGCAAAACACCAGCCCTGGGGAGCCCAGCCCAGCACCCCCACTCGCCGCCCCTCTGCCGGGGACTATGCCAGCCTCAACCCCTGCTCGAGCTGCACGGGATCCTGAGGCCTGGTGGTCAAAGAGCCGGACTCGTTGCTCTGGGAATGAGGCGAGGGATACACCAGCCTCCCGTAACTGGAGACCACCCGCCCCTTGGGCAGCAGCAGCACAAGAGCATCTGGGGCAGCAGAGTGGGCCCAGCCCAGGCACCTGGGGACCCTGGACCCCGGACGCTTGGAGTCCACACCCAGCACACAGGGGAGAGCCGTCCTCCCACCAGCCTCCTCCCTGTCCCCTTAGGCTCCCCGGAGCATCTGAGTCTGCAGCCCACTGGGGTGTCCGCTCGTGCAGCCGCCAAGCCTGCTGGCCCTAGGATGCTTCGCCGCGCTCCCTTAGCCCGAGTGGGCTGGCCGGGCTTGCAGCCCCAGAGGAGGTTCCCTCTCTTACCGAGAGGGGAGCAGCGTGAGCCGCGTGTCCACAGTGCCCCCAGCCCAGATGCCCGGAGCCCACAGGTACCTGTCGGGCGTCCTCCTCTTGCCGTTCTCATTGACTTCCAGCAGCAGCTCTGAGGAGTCGATGGGGGAGGAGGCGCTGGCGTCCAGCAGGAGCTGCTCATGCTGGGCCAGGTACTGGGCGGGCGTCTGCTTGGCCAGGCGTGCACAGTGCAGGAGCTCCCGCTGCAGCAAGGGCAGGTTTGCCTGTGGGGTGGGGAAGGCGGGCCTGGGGGGCGTGCAGGGCCGAGCAGAGGGGGTCTGGGTTGGGTGGCCAAAAGCTCAACTTGACCTCGGGCCTCAAAGATTAGGTGCTTGACCTCTGTGGGCCTCAAGTTCCTTCCTAGCAGTGCCGTGGGAGGGTGCCGTGGGAAACTGGGCACAGAGGCTCGCAGGAGTGCCTCACCAGGGCCACACAGCGATGTGGGGCGTGTGGGGCTTGAGCCCAGATCCTGGACTCCCAGGCTGGGGCTTTTCCACTGCACCCAGCTGCCTCCTATGGCGCCATCTGGAGAAGATGGTGCAGCAGATCACGGCTGGTCTTCCCGCCTGCACCCGCCCCGCCCAGCAGGCACCACATGACCAGGCACAGCTGGGGAAATGCAGGCTCAGAGAGGGGAGGCGGCCCCGGGTCTGCAGGCCCTCATACCAGGGAGCTGGGAGTGAAACCCGGCCGAGATTATGGGCAGTATGTCTGCTCCAGCCCTGATGGGAAACCCCTCAGAGGCAGCTTCCCCTTCCCTTCCCGCTGGTTTCCAGCCTTGGCCTCAACGGAGTGTGGACTTGGGAGGTGAACACCCGTGTTCTGTGGCTGTGCTGCTCTGAGCACGTGGTGCTCAGTGATCCTCCAGCCCCGGTGAGGACAGCCTCAAGACCGGGCTCCATGTTTGCGGGTAAGGACTCCGCAGCGTGCGGCCGAAGGACGGCCCAGTGTACAGGATTCGTGCGCAGACCCTGCCTTTGGCGCCTGTGAGGACTCGCGGCGCCCACCACCTCCTCCCTGGCTCCAGGCTGGCACCGCTGGGCCGCAAGCTGTGCTCTCCGGTGCCTTCCCCAAAGTCTTCCCAGAGCTGCCGCGGGAGGGCGGACAGGCTGGACCCTGAGCGTGCTGGACCAGGGCCCAGCAGCAGGCCACTTGGGAGGGCCAGCGGTTCTAAGCATTTGTAAATAAATACAATTCTCCAACTTTCTCATGCGTTTCAAAGCTGCCACGCCGCCTTCTCCTGCCAGCGCCTCCCCCTTCCCCACGAGTGTTTCCACCAGGCCCTCGAGCAGCGCCGGCTGCGGGCCTGTTTTTCTCTTTGGATAGCTGAACAGGGGCCAACCAGCCATCTGTCGAGCATATTAGGAGCATGAGCTGGGAAACGAGGTCCCGGGAGGTCTGAGAAGCCAAACATCCTCCCTCCCTCGTCAGCCCCTCCCCAGGGGCCTCCCCTTGGCCCGTTCGGGAACCGGCTGGTCGCGGTTAGGGCAGGGGGAACATCTGGATCCCTGGCTGGCTAGGGCCAGCTGGGGCCAGCTGGGAGCCGGGGCGGTGGGTGGGGTTGCATCCCCCGGCTTCTGGAAAGCCTGCCCGTTGGGCCGCGTGTGGGGCAGGCTCAGAAGAGTGCAGGGGACCCAGGACTGGGCAACACCAGCGTGTGCGCCGGATGCATCGCAGCCCTCGGCCAGCAGGGAATGGCTCCCCCAGGTCTGCAGAATGGGGTGGGGCCTGTGGGAGCCTCCTGCAAAGCCTCCTTCGAGGCAGTGTGCCCACTCCGTCCCCAGGAGTCCAGGGCACCCGGGGAGGTGTCACCACTAAAATGCTACACAAACTGAGCTGGTCAAAAATGCCCCAACCCCACCGCCCAATGGAGGCTCTGACTGCAGAACGCCCGAAGCTGCCCTCCGCACAGATGCGAACTCAGGCTGGGGAACTGATGTTCGCAGCGATGGCAGCGGTGGTTGAGGCACTAGCTGAGCTACAAGGGCTTTCGCAGACTCCGCTGCTCTGCCAAGCGCCCAGCTAAAGCCTCCCTGACCGTGGGCTCTGCCACAGAGAGGCTGTGGCCTTGGGCTGGTCGCTTAACCTCTCTGACCCTTGCTGTATCCGCAAACTGGCACCGTGGAGACTCCGGCTGAGATGGGCTCCGGCGAGCTCCGGGTAAATTAGCTCCGTCCTTTCCCACTGCCCTGTGCGGGGGGGTTCACCACCCCAGCCGTGAGAGAGACGACGCAAGCCAGGGCTGGGGTTCCAGCCAGGCAGGCCCCCACCCTCTCCGGCCCCTTAGCCACCAGTCCTGCCGTTTCTAGGATGATGTCTCCAAGGGCTGCGTGAGGGTGCCCCACACTGGGCCTGGGGGCTGTGGATGTCTCGGGAAGGTGCTACCCCTCCCCTAGCCCAGGCTACAGTTGGGAACACCGAGGTCCAAGGGGGCTGGCTGGGGGTCACTCCCACTAGGCACCTCCTATCTGGCCTGGGAAGGTCGGGTTCCCCCTCTACACTCTGTGTCTGAAGGGGCTGCTGCCCTGTAGGGGTGTTGGTGGGGTGGGGG